ATGCTCCCAGTGAAAAACCACTGGATTCACAGTTCTGGTGGCAAGCCGTCCCACTGATGAATTGTTATGTCAGTGCAAATACAAAATAGCAGAGCTGGAAGGGGCCTTGGAGGTCTTCTAGTCCAGCCCCCTGCTCAAGCAGGAGACCCTCTACCATTCCAGACAGGTGGCCGCCCAGTCTCTTCTTCAAAACCTCCAGTATCGGACCATCCCGTCCATTCTAGTGGCAAGCTGTTCCACTGGTTAACTGTCCCGTTAGGAAGTTTCCCCTTAGTTCTAGGTTGCTTCTCTGCCACACCCAGACCCTTGATTGTACAGTCACAGTGGCAGAGTTGGAAGGGACCTTGAGGTCATCTAGTCCAACCCCGTGCTCAAGCAAGAGACCTAGTTTAGAGAATAAATTGACACCCCCCCCCCTCTTCTTCATGGCAGCCCCTCAAATACTGGAATATTTCTATCATGTCCCCCCAGTCCTTCTTTTCTCTCTGCAGCCATTCTTCACATGTTTTAGTGGCCTTCGATACCCCGAGTCATCCCTCTGCCCTCCGCCCAATGGGGGGGGGGTGTTTGTGGCGCCCCCGGACGCCCGGTTGGGGATGGCCGAGACCCTTTCGGGTCAAGCCCGACCGGACGCCGCCTCGAACTTTTGCGGGAGCCTCGGAAGGGAATCCCGGCGAAGGAAGGGGCTCTCTACTCACGCAGCGTCGCCGGGGAGACAACGAGGCAGCCGGCCTGAGGGAAGATGCTCACGGCGCCTCACGTTCCAGTGGAAAGAAGGCAAGCGCGCGGCGCGCAGGGGGTTATGGGAGCGGCGCCTCTCCGGGCAAGCTCAAGTCTCCGCAGAACTGAGGGGGGGGGAATAAAGCGGGCGATACCAATAGGGGCAACCGAGACGGAAAGGGAGAATCCGCGGCGACGAGAAAATCGGGTGTTCTCCATATAGTTTCGTCAGAGCGATGAGGCACGAAGCTTTTCCTTCCTCTTTCTTTTTGTTCCTTCTCCTTTCTTTCTTGCTCCCACCCGACTATAATGATAGAATAGGCCAAGGTGTTGAGAGGACGAGGCCACGATGGTGGACGGGGAGGTAATTTAAACCTGAGGGTTTTTGTTTTTTTACCGCCTAGAAAATGTTTTCTTATCTTGGTTTTACGCCACATCTGAGAAGAAAATGGTTTCTCACGGGGAGTAATCCCGCGGGATTTCGTGGGGGAGGAAAAACCCACTATTTTCTCGCGCCCCCCCCCTCCATTTTGCTATATTGAAGTCGTCCAAAGGCGCCTGGAGGAAACCAATGCAGCGCCAGTGAAGGGGAGGGAAATGAATGGAATGGTCCACTACGGCAAAAGGAGAAGGGGGGGAAGAGAGCTCCCAGCAATAGAGCTGAGAATAATCTGGCCTGATTCTGAATCTGGTTGGCAGGAGAGATGGGCACCTTCTGCAAAGGTGCCAACATCTGGATACCCCCGACTTCTGCATTAACCTCACTCCTCCCAAACCCTGTTCAGAAGCATCCAAATGGGAACCAAGTCTCACCTTAAAAAGCAGAGTGAGAAGTATTACAATCCAAACATGTATTACTCTTTATACTCTTCCCTTTAAAATGTTACCAGAATCCACAATGGTTTCCTCAAACCCACCGAAATAAGTTGCCCAGACCCAATCTACATATCAAAGGATAGGAGCTGCAAACACAGAGTTAATTACATTAGATCTCCCAGAGGAACTGCATCAGGGGTGGGTTTCTACCGGTTCTGTCCACATCTGTAGAACTGGTAGCTCCTAAAAGCAGCAGACATAGAACCGGTTTTATTTATTTATTTATTTATTTGATTTGCCAATTGTTTACAAGATAATAAGTATAAGTGTATACATAGTTGTGAATACATGAAATGGGTACATATAAGAAAAATAAAAGAATAAGAGAAACAATAGGACAGGGACGGTAGGCACGTTGGTGCGCTTATGCACATCCCCTACAGACCTCTTAGGAAAGGGGTGAGGTCAATAGTAGACAGTCTAAGGTTAAAGTTTTTGGGGTTTGGGGAAGAGACTACAGAGTCGGGTAGAGTATTCCAGACATTGACCACTCTATTGCTGAAGTCGTATTTCCTGCAATCAAGTTTGGTGCGGTTTACTTTGAGTTTGTATCTATTGTGTGCTCTTGTGTTGTTATGGTTGAAGCTGAAGTATTCATTGACAGGTAGGACATTGCAATGTATGATTTTATATACCATGCTTAAGTCAGACGGTTCTATGTCTGCTGATGTTTTTGCCCACCTGGGCTGTTACCTGATCTTTATTTCCTGATTTTTTTCAACTTCGGCTGCTGTGCGAGACACAGCTGCAGTTAAAAAAGCAGGAAAAGAGGGCTGTTTCGCAGGCTGCTTCTCTGCACGCAGTGTGCTGATGCCGATTTACAGGCGCGCAGCTCCCAGCGTGCAGGGAAGCTCGTAAATCCCGAACCGGTAGCTAACCCTGTCGTATCCCATTCTTGAACTGCATGAACATACCTACCTACATACACACATGCCCCTTAAGTGTCACCCTAGAATCAGCACCCTGAGAAGTTCCTCCAAAAAAAAAAAAACTGCTACCGTGCCCCATTTCCAAGATCATGAAGCCGACACCTCATCCCAATAAAACCCCTTTTATTAAGGTTAAAGGGAATTCCTCTCCAGCAAAGTCCTGGCAAACAGTCTTTCATGAGGTTTCTCAACTACAGACCTTGATCAGGCGTGGAGAATTGCCAGGCCGATATCTTGCAAACACCATGCTGTAGCAGAAATTACTTGGCAAGAGGTCAGGAACAGATCTTCACCCTAATGAACTGAACTAATTGTCTCCTGCAAACCCCACTCCTCTTTTCCTCCTCTTATATTCCCTCAGGGAGGGGCCATTCACCATCCATCTGTGGCTTTATTCCCAAGTCGACCCTTGTTCCTCAGCTATTCCCTTCTTCTGGCAGCTCTGTGCATGCGCACACATGGGAACAGGCTCCAGCTGTTCTTCTGCCCTGCTGATCTCCAACTCTGAAGGCAGCTAATAACTGTCGGACGACCCTGGCCCCATCTCTGCCTCCGACGCAGAGCTCTCATCAAAACCTTCCCCAGACTCGCAGGACTGGCCCAGAAAGACACTGGAAACATGGAGGATCATTGGAAAGAGGGTTTAATGCTGAAGCAGAACCACCAAGCCCGTAGTTCTCTGGTGCAGCTGACCACATGAAGTTGAGACTGAGGGCGAGTATTGATACCTTCTATGGGGCTTTACACTTGAGCTTCCTGTTCCTGTGCAAGAACATGTATTCTATTGGCTGTTGTCAGATTCCCATGTAGGGGTCATGTTTGTCTGAGCTAGGTTTGGCTGAAGTTTGGCTCATGCAATGAAGGGGCTTGTTGGGCAATTCCTATTGTGGCTGAGGGCTAATCCTACCTTTGTTCAGACCTTGCTGCCAGGAATTTTTGCCTATGAATAGAACTACCCATCTCTTTATCTTTTATCCCATCCTTCCTTTCACCCATCCCCTCCCACTTATGACGGTAACCTTGTTGCTTGTACCCTTACGATTTATATTGACTGTTTCCTAGTGTGATTTGATTGCTTATTGTACCCTATGACTATTATTAAGTGTTGTACCTGATGACTCTTGACGAATATATCTTTTCTTTCATGTACATTGAGAGCATTTGCACCAAAGACAAATTCCTTGTGTGTCCAATCACACTTGGCCAATAAAGAATTCTACTCTTTTTTTCTCTCTTTCTTTTTTTCTTTCTTTCTCCTTCCTATCTATCTATCTATCTATCTGTCTGTCTGTCTGTCTATCTGGATTGCTTATTGTACCTTATGACTATTATTATTAAGTGTACCTGATGATTCTTGGCTCTCGAAAAATGTATCTTTTTTTGTGTACACAGAGCATTTGTACCAAGACAAATTCCTTGTGTGTCCAATCACACTTGGCCAATAAAGAATTTTATTCTATTCTATTCTATTCTTTCTATTCTATTCTATTCTATTCTTTTTATTCTTCTCTTCCTAATTCTTATTTCTATTCTACTCCATTCCAATCCATTCCATTCTGTATTTTATTATTCCATTCCATTCTTCTCTTTATTATTCTCTTCTCTTCTTCTCTTTATTATTCTTTTCTCTTCTTCTCTTTATAGAGCACTGCACACCAGAACAACTAGACACAAGGAGTTTTCCCCCCGAACATCATCGGTCTGCTAAACAAATAATTCCCTCAACACTGTCCAACTATTTACAAAGTCTGCACTACTATTACTGTTAATCTCCTCATCACTCCTTATCACCTATCCCCTCCCACTTGTGAATGTAGGACTGTAACTTTGTCACTTGTATCCTAACGATCTATATTGACTGTTTCCTAGTAGGATTTGATTGCTTATTGTACCCTGTGGTTATTATTGAGTGTTGCACCTGATGATTCTTGACTCTTGACAAATGTATCTTTTCTTTTATGTGCACTGAGAGCATTTGCACCAAGACAAATTCCTTGTGTGTCCAATCACGCTTGGCCAATAAAGAATTCTATTCTATTCATTAAGTGCTGACATCTGCTGGGGGCTATTAAGGAAGGCAGGGGCTGCTTTCCAAGAGCATTTTTCTCTGTTTCTCACCCAGTATAATAGTCTGCCTTTTAAAAAAAAATTCTGAAAACAAATCAAATTTCTCAATTTCATTCATTTATCCGATGAGACAAGAACCAGGGTTTCTCGGGTTCACAGAGAGCTTTTCTATCAATAAACCTCCATCAATAATCAGATCCTACCTTACTTGCTTCCGGTTTGGTGGGTGATTGCACATGCGCTTTTTTCCTTCCTTTTTTACTACCGGTTCGGCTGAACCGGTCCAAACCGGTAGTGTACCACTACTGACCTCCATGGTAGCTACCTCCAGCTACAAAATAGCTACGGCCTTCAAAAGGCCGAAGAAAGAAGACCAAGCAGAGATAGAAAACAAAAAACAACAACTCATAGCCAGCAATGGAGCCACCATGGTTTATTCCGCCAACGGGAAACATTTGGAATGGATCATAATCCCAGGTTGTAATAACCGGGCACCTGAAAATTGGGCACAATGTCACCTGCATTTGGCGACATCCTCCTGCCTTGCAGAATTATAGCATTTGGTCAACGACAATGTGCACAGTGAGGAGGCAGGGCACCGTCTACCCCAGGGGCAAATGCCCGTGAGCACCCACCACGTGCCAGAGTCCTGGCAACTTTCTTCCGGTGGAAAGCTATGGTCCCATCTAGCTGGGGATATGGACCCGGTCCACAAGAAGGAGGCAAAACGCACCCAGAAGGACTTTCCTTTGGCAAGAAACCTGGCACCACCACAGTCCTCCAGGCACACCGGCTACCTGTTGCCCAATTCGCGAGCCCGGCTGGTGGCCGCCTCCACGGCGTTCATGACCGTGGCTCGCAGGGACCCCTTTTCCAGCTCGTGCAAGGCGTGGATGGTGGTGCCGCCTGGAGTGCAAACGGCGCTCCGCAGAACAGCGGGGTGGTCTCCTGTTTCCAGCATCATTTTGGCTGCTCCCTGGAGAAGAGAGGAGAGAAATCGGAGGTTTCAAATTAAGGGACAGGATGGACAGAGTGTAAAGTACTGAGAGAAGAGAAGATCTGGAGATCGCGGTTGTAGTGAGGGGTCCTTGCTGCTCTCTGAGCTTGGTGGTTTTCTTGGGAGACATTTCATGACCCAACTAGGGAACATCATCAGTGGAATGGAGGAAAAGGAGGAAGAAGAGGATTTGGGGCCGTTGGTTGTTTTCTGAAGAAATTTCATTATCCAACTAGGTAACATCATGAGTGCTAGAAGGGAGGAGGGGTTGCGTAGAGGAGAAGAAGGGAGGAAGGAGAAAAGAGGAGGAGGACGATGACTGTGGGGTCCTTGGTGCTCTCTCAGCTTGGTTTTTTTTCTTGGAGATGTTTCATGACCCATCTGGTTAACATCATCAGTACTAGAAAGGAGTGGGGTTTGTGGGGGGGGGGAGGAGGAGGAGGAGGAGGAGGAGGAGGAGGAGGAAAAGAAGGACTATGGGGTCCTTAATGTTCTCTTGAGTTTGGCTGTTTTCTTGCAGATGTTTTATCACCCAACTAGGTAACATCATCAGTGCTGGAAGGGAGGGGAGAAGAAGGAGGAGGAGGAGGCAGAGGATGAAGAGGAGGAAAAGGAGGAGGACTGTGGGCTCCTTGGTGCTCTCTGAGCTTGGCTGTTTTCTTGCAGACGTTTCATTACCCAACTAGGTAAACATCATCAATGCTATAAAGGAATGGGATTTGCTTTCTCTTTATATAGTACAGCAGTGGCTTTCCTGCCAGTGTGGCTAGGGGAGTTATTGATGGTTCCTTGATTGGGTTGTTGTTTCCTGTTCTCTTGTTTCAGCTGGTAGCACAGGGTACAAACTCACAATCTCACTCTGCTAGAACTGGGTCGTTGTGGGTCGTTGTGAAGATGCAGTTGAATCAGGACTGCAGAAATTTTTGTAGGGTGAAAATATGTCCCTAGGGCAGAGGTCTCCAAACTTGGCAACTTTAAGACTTGTGAACTTCAACTCCCAGAACCCCAGCTATGGAATTCCCAGTATGCTGGCTGAAGAATTCTGGGAGTTGAAGTCCACAAGTCTTAAAGTTGCCAAGTTTGGGGACCCCTGCCATAGGCCTTTCCCCCTTTCAGTATGTCTTTAGTGCCTCAGAATGCAAACCTCTGGCAACCGACACGACGGCAATGCACACTCTGATCTGATAGTAGGATGGGAATTTAAATAGAAATCATGCAAAATCAAGATGATTTATTTCAATTGGGCCAGAATTAACTTGAAGCCAGATTCTTGGCAGATAAGTAAAGATGGCACGGACTTGGGAGAACGCTTCCTCACGACACACGGGAGAGGTGATGTGTGCTATTGGGTACAAACTCGTCCTCGATCTACAACCACAACTGAGCCCATAATTTATGTTGCTAAGCGAAACATCTGTTAAGTAGGTTGGTCTGCCTCGTTTTACGACTTTCCTTGCCCCAGCCTTTAGGTGAATCCTGGCGGAGGTGAAGTCAGAAGCACAACGGTTATGGAGTGAATCTGGCCTCCCCGTTGACTTTTTTCACCACCGGCGTTAATTTTGAACGGTCACTCAATGAATAGTCGCAAGTCGACTTACGACAGCTCATTTTAGGGGCCGTTCCAAGTTACAACGGAGGCTCCATGTGCCGCGCGTTGCAACAGTCAAGACGAAAGGGTGCGGAAATAGGTTGGGTTTTGACAGAGGGGGTCTAAAGGAAAAACCGCGGAGCGTGAATTGGAAGTCAGGTCCTGCCTTTTAACTTCCTGCACCTGTGTCTGGTTTGCCAATTGCACAGGGGCAGATAGGACAGCGCTCCAGAGGGTTGACCCCAGGATGGGATTCAGGCGGTTCGGGCTGGTTCAGGCGAACCGGACATTAAAGTAACATCTGGTTCGCCGAACTCATAGTTAAACTGACTGCCTGGCCCTGCCCAGGAGTCTCCACATGGCCCGTTTGGGGTGCAGGTAAGTGCAGGGGAAAAACGGCCCTCCCGGAAGTTCCAGTAGGCCACGCCCACCATGGCTGCACCCACCCAGCAACCGGGCAGCGAATTTTTGAATCCCACCCATGGATTAACATCATTGCCCGGAGGATCACGGGTTGCCCTCTCCCCTCTTTGGAAGAGTTTTATAGCTCCTGCTGCTTTAAGAAAGTTCAAAACATTCTTCAAGATCCATCTTCTGATATGTAAAATTACACCTGTGAATATATAAAGCAACGGTAACGCCCCTTTTAACCTCTGTGTTAACCTAAGATAAATTACTGGAATATTATGTAAGAATTCTCTATTGTTTTGTATAAAGGTTATATATTTGGCAGGTCATGCTGTCCAGTGACATGCTAAGGATGGAGATGACTGAAAATGGAAACTGGTAAACAGGACAAGGAAACAGATGGTATGCTACAATAATAAGGGTATTGCATAGGGTGATGCGTAGCTGGATAGATTGTGAACCCGGAAAGGGGAAGACTGTATATTTGAAAGCGTATATAAACCCCAGCCTTCTCACAAAATGTGTCTTCCGTGGCTGCGCCCATGAGCACAGAATTCCCTTTTGCACAAATTCCATAATAAAGCTCTTATTTATTGTTCAAGAATCTCTAGTTGTATGAAAGGTTGATTTTTATAGTCCATCTCATCCCAGCCACCCTTTTTTTTTGAACTATTACCATCTGGCAGACTGTACAGGATAATAAAAACAAGGACAAACAGGCTGAAAAACAGCTTCTATCCCAGGGCAAGAAACTCTATTGAATTCTACTGTATAGTGCAGTGATGGCTAACCTATGACACGCGTGTTACGCGTGACACGCCGAGGCACTTTGACTGACACGCCTGTTGGTGTGGGGAAAACCTGCACACTTAGAGGCTGCCTGTGCTCTGCTCCAATCCCTGCTCCCTGCTTGTTGCGTGGAGGCGTGGTGTCACCGCTGCCGGGAGATCTTTGCAGCAGAGAACCAGTTTTAACCGCCATAAACTGAGCTTTGTCAGTTTCATTACCTCAGGAACGCTGCAGGAGGAAAGGAGATCCATGAGGTTCACAGCCCTGTAAGGTGGCCTTCCGATCCCCACATCCTGCACCTGCAGCCCTGAGACCAGGGAGACGAGTTTCACAGCCCTGTGTGATCACCCCAGCCCAGTCCGTCATAAACCAAATTACTGATAGTTCTTGAAGTGACACACGACCCGAGGAAGGCTACACTTTTTCCCGATTTTTGACACACCAAGCTGAAAAGATTAGCCATCACTGGTATAGTGCAATATTAATGCAATATCAGGGGTTTTCAATTCAATGTATAGAATGGGAAGGGTGTTTGTTTGTGTTTTATTTTTATAGTTCTAATGGACACGGAATGTTGTTGTACGAGGTGCAATGACAATAAAGTAAAATAAACTGCCATCCTCAGCCCCTTACCAGCAAAGTCTGAGCTGCGATCCTGTTGGCCAACGGGCCGGGCATTCCCATCTTGACCGCACCTTCCGCCAGGGCTTCCGCGAACATGTAGACCTGCCGCAAGGGGAGGAAAGGAACCACGATCTAAGCTAAGCATCCTCGTGGGTAAACCATCCCGTAGGAGAGCTTCCAACGACTGAACAGTCTTCAGGTAGGTACCCCAAACGGGGGAGAGGACCCTCATGTCAACTCGTAAAACATTCCTATACTTGTTTCCAAGTAGCCATAAGCAGCGGGGGGGGGGGGGAGAGAACCTGAAGGAGCAGATAGGAAATTAAAACCAGAAGTGCATTCCATGCTTATCTTAAAAAGATTGCAGCCTAGGCACCGGCTGCGTTCGTTGGAAAACCTGATTGCTGACACACCCGGGGAGGGAAACAGGGTCACAGGTGACAGTAAATTACATGTGTCAGAGTTGGCTTCATACGGAGTTAATGCTGGACATGTTGCTCCTAATAAATCTTTTGGATTCTTTTGAAGCTTGGCTCAAGGCTCATGCTTTAATTAGGCGAACCCTATGGCACGCAGAGTCATTTGTGCCGGCACATGAGCTGCAGGCGCATTTACTTCACTGCGCATGTGCTCGCCTCACAGCTGATTTTCGGCCGGTTTGAGGCCTTTTTGGCCTCCCGAAGGCTTAAGGAAGGCTTCTGCAGGCCGAAAACTAGCCCCGTTTTGTCAATTCTGGTATTTTCTGAAAAAGAGGAAATGACGAAACGGGCCTAGTTTTCGGCCTACAAAGCTTGCAGAAGCCTGCAGAAGTCTTCCTCAAGACTTTGGGAGGCCGAAAAAGGCCTCAAACCGGCCAAAAATCAGCTGTGAGGCGCAGTGCGGGTAAGGGAGCGGCGGAGGGGGGGCGAGTAGGGATTGCGCGCGCATGCGTAGGGGGCGTGAGGGGGGGCGCGCACTGCCTTCTGGGTGCTGGCACACGAGTGCAAGCACGCACACAGTTTTTGGTATAGGAGTCCAAAAAGGTTAGCCACCATTGAATTAGGGCAATCCACATGTAATTTACTCTGACATGTCAAAGGTAAAATAAAGCTTTGGAGATGTGAAGAGATTGGAGATCAGGACTCATCAAACGCACTGCACGTCCTTTCTCACCTTACAAAGCCTCTCTTAAATCTCACCCACCTCCATCATAACATACAGGTAGTCCTCGACTTACAACAGTTCACTTACTGACCGTTCCAAGTTACAACGGCACTAAAAACCGGAACTTATGACCGTTTTAACACTTATGACCATTTTTCACACTTATGACTGTTGCAGTATCCCCGTGGCCCCGGGATCAAAATCCAGGCGCTTGGGGACTGACTCCTATTTATGACGGTTGCAGCGTCCGGGGGGCGGGGTTTACGCGATCCCCTTTTGCGACCTTGTGACAGGCAAAGTCAACGGGGAAGCCCAATTCACTTAACAACTGTATGACTACCTTAACAATTGCAGTGATTCACTTAACGGCTGGGGAAAGGAAAGTCGTATAGTGGCAGCAAGAGTCTGTCTCACCCAGCAAGAGAAGTTTTGGTCTCAATTGGGGTCGTAAGTCAAGAACTTACCGGTACTTCCTTCAATCTTCCACAGACTGATGACTACTTAAGTGTCGGATTACAACTCCCAGAATTCCTAGTAACCCACGGCAAACAAGCCAACATCGCTGGAAACCATGATGAGGATGGTTGAGGGATACTGATTATTTTGGGAGGTTGCCCAAAGGTTAGGTTTCTAATTATTTTGGGGGGGGAGGCTAAGGACAAAGACAGGTGAAATAGACTGGGTGAAACCAGGCTCAATAGCAGTAACTGTGAGAAGGATCTTGGAGTCTTAGTGGACAACCAGCTAAATAGGAGCCAGCCGTGTGCAGCAGCCGCCAAAAAAGCTAATGCAATCCTAAGTTGCATTAACAGAGGGATACAATCCAGATCAATGGAGGTATTAATACCACTCTATAAAGCCTTAGTAAGGCCACACCTAGAGTACTGCATCCAGTTTTGGTCACCACACTATAAAAAAGAGGTTGAGACTCTACAAAAAGTACAGAGAAGAGCAACCAGGATGATGAGGGGACTGGAGGCTGAAACATATGATGAATGTTTGCAGGAACTTGGTGTGGCTAGTTTAGTCAAGAGAAGGACCAGGGGAGACAGGAGAGCAGCCTTCCAATATCTAAGGGGCTGCCATAGACAGGAGGAAGGGGTCAATCTATTTTCTAAAGCGCCTGTAGGCCAGACAAGGAAGAATGGATGGAAACTGATCAAGGAGAGATTCAACCTGGAAACAAGGAGAAACTTTCTGACAGTGAGAACCATCAACCCATGGAACAGAAGTTGCCTTCAGAAGTTGTGGGAGCTTCATCCGTGGAGACTTTCAAGAAGAGACTGGACTGCCCTCTGTCAGAAATGGTGTAGGGTCTCTGCTTGGGCAGTGGGTTGGACTAGATGACCTACAAGGTCCCTTCCAACTCTGATTATCTGTTAGGTAGCAGAAAAAGAAATGAAGAGGACCCGATGGAAACTCCTGCATGTGGACTAGAAACTTAAGATTCTTTTTTTTAAAAAAGAAAGCCCCTTCCTGATGGGACTGCGGGAGGCCAGATGCCATTATCTGCAATAAATACAGGTCGTCCTCCACTTATGACCACAGCAGAGCCCAACATTTCTGTTGGTAAGTGAGACATTCCTTAAGTGAGTCTCTCCCCGTTTTACGGCTCTCCTTGCCACTGTTGTTAAGTGAATCCCTGCAATAGTAACACGGTTGTTAAGGAACTCTGGCTTCTCCCGCCGACTATGCTTGTTGGAAGGTTGCAATAGGGGATCACGTCTCTCACACACACATATACACACAACCCCGGGGAACAGTGCAACCGTCATAAATACGAGTCAGCGTGCGAATTTTGATCCCGTGACTGCCTGGATGCTGCAAAGTTCACCAAGTGCGAAAATAAGGAGATATGTGAGGATGGTTTTTGTAGATTTTAGTTCTGCCTTTAACACAATTCTTCCACGTAGACGAGTGTCTAAACTTCTGGACCTTGGCCTTTCTTATTCAATCTGCCTTTGGATTATGGATTTCCTGTCTGGCTGCTCACAGAGGGTCAGATTAGATAATCACACCTCTTCAGCCCTTATTCTTAACCCTACCTACCTACTGTTATCTATCGATCGATCTATATCTATATATCTGTATATCTCTCTCTCTCTCTCTCATCTCTCTGTCTCTCTCTCTCTCTCTCTGTGTGTATGTATAAGAGGCTGCTGCCTCTTGATTGGTTGATGGAGTTGATGTTGGTATAATGGGCTGTGTGATGGCCTTGTGAGTTTTGTTGTGGAGATATCCTGGATCTTGTGCTGTCATCTCCTGGGTCGTTTGTTTTGTAGTGATCTTTTTTCCAGTAGCCTCCCGTGTTTTAACAGCTTGGGTAATGGGTTGTGTGATGGGCTTGCGAGTTCTTGTACCCCACCACCAGTATTTATAGAGAGACGGCAGCTCCGATCACACACTGCTTGCACTGGCACGAAGCTGAAAGCACCAGCCTGAGGATGGCGAGTGGGACCTCGCCGAAACATCGCCAAGATACTCTTAATCTTACACGGGAAAAGACCCAAACACACCTAGACCTACATACCTGTACCCTTGAAAATCTAAGAATATATATATATAAGAAAACACATATATATATATATATATCCACATCTATCATCTTTCTATCATCTTTCTATCATCTATCTACATCCATCCATCTCTATCCCTTTCTCTCTCTTCTCTCTCTATTGATAGAGATTATAGAGAGGAGAGAAATAAGAGAAAGGGATAGTGATCTATCGATCTACCTATCCATCTATCTATCTAATCTATCTATCTATCTATCATTATAAATAGCCCTTATTCTTAACACTGGTACACCACAGGGTTGTGTGTTGAGTCCCTTACTCTATACTCTTTATGGGCATGACTGCATTCCCATTCATGCTAGTAATACAATTACTAAATTTGCAGATGATACAACAATGGTGAGACTCATCTCCAGGGCTGTGTGAGAATTGGATTATCCCTGGACTGAAAACTGATTGCTATAACCATGTATGACTTGGACTGTTTGTTGGACTTTGCTTAACCATTTACTGGAAGTAAAACCTACATTTTACTATTCAGTGTATCTGTGTGCTGGTTGTGTGTTATTCATCACCACTCTCACTACGTCTCCCTGTGTGCGCTCATTCTCCTAATGGGGAATTACCTTAACAGAGCTGACAGCGGACTATAGAAGGAATAGATCAGACATCCAGCCCTTGCGTATCAATGGAGACTGAGTGAAGCAAATGGCCACTTTTAAGTTTCTCAATGTTATCCTAAAAGAGGACCTGGCTTGGGGTGCCCACATTGCAGCCCTGGTCAAAAGGGTCCAGCAGAGATTATAGTACCTGAGGCTTCTCAGGAAAAAACTAAATGGAAAAACTGCTGGTGACCTTCTACCGCTGCACCAGAGAGAGGATCTTAACTTACTGCACCTGTGTCTGGTTTGCCACTTGCACAGGGACAGATAGGATGGCACTCCAGAGGGTGAACATCATTGCCCAGAGGATCACGGGTTGCCCTCTCCCCTCTTTGGAAGAGCTTTGTAGCTCCCGCTGCCTTAAGAATGTTCAAAACATTCTCAAAGATCCATCTCATCCTGGGTTCCCTTTTTTTTTCTTTGAACTATTACCATCTGGCAGACGGTACAGGATAATAATAAAAACAAGGACAAATAGGCTGAAAAACAGCTTCTATCCCAGGGCAGTAGCTCTATTGGATTCTACTGTATAGTGCAATATCAATGCAATATCAGGGGTTTTCAATTCAATGTGTGGAGTGTGAAGGATGTGTGTTTTGTGTTTATTTTCATGGTCATGATGTGCACTGAAGATGGTGTTTGATTTCGTTGTACGAGGTGCAATGACAATAAATTAAACTAAATTAAACGAAAACATCCCTCTGTTGCTTTTTTTCCCCAGTGCCGGTCACTAAATTAATCTGTCATAAGTCGAGGACTCCCTGTTTTAAGGAGGCCGATGAAGGAACTGGCGGGGGGGGGGAGAAGGAGACTCACGTAAGCTACGCCGCTGCCACTCAACGCCGTGTGGATGTCGATATAGGACTCGGGGGCCTCTTCACACAAGCCGCACGCGGCCAGCAGGGTTTTCAGCACAGAGACCTCCTCTTCTCCCACGGACGACCCCCGAGAGAGCAGGATGGCCCCCGACCGGACCTCGCAGGGAAGGTTGGGCATCATGCGCAGGACTCGCGTCCCCGCAGGGAGCAGCTGCCGAGGAAGGAGACAGGGGCATACGGTGAGAGAGAGAGACACACACACACACACACACACACGGCAAATTCACCCTGCTGGATCAGGATGGATAAAAATCTATTTTAAAAAAATTTTTAAATCAGTTTTTTAAAAAATTTAAATTGAATTTTTTAAAAAAAATTTAAATTGAATTTTTTTAAAAAAAATTAAATTGAATTTTTTTAAAAAAATTATCAGATTTATTTTAATAAAACACCCTTGGAGTAAAAAAAAATCTATCTCAAGAGAGTTTTCTATTTAAGATACATTCATAATATATTATAGTACTAGCTGGATACCCGTGCTTTGCTAACGAAACTATATGGTAGGGCTTAGTTTTGGGGGAGGAAAATAAGGGGGGAAAAATTTTCTGCCTCTGCCTACCAGCCTCCGTTGGTATTCATCTGGCAAGCATTCTGTCAGTATGTGAGAGTGGGGGGCTGTTTGGAAACTGAAACTGAAACTTGCTGTGTGAGCAAGGAGGAGACAGCAAGGAGCCTGGGCGTAGCTTAGCTCAACTGTTCTGTACTAAAGCTGCTTGGTGCTGTGAAACTGAAACTCCTCTCCTCTGCTTGTGTTTTGCATTTGGAACAGATTTCTTTTCAGGAGTGGCATCAAGCTGGCCACACCCAGTAAGTGGCATCCACCTGGCCACGCCCACCCAGCCCCCGTGGATAACCACAGCCCTGATGTAGCCCTCAATGAAATTGAGTTTGATACCCCTGATCTAAAAGGATGCAAATGACCCCGTTGTCTGCAAGGAGCATCAATCCTCCCATTCCCCACCATTCAGTCAGAGCTGAGAAAGCTTTTTGGATGATAAGGGAAATGTCTTCAAAAGAAAAAAAAAACCAGAAAGTCCAGTTGCCTCCTGAAAAAAAGCACCTTTGGGACACCTACAGGTTTGCTCTTCGGGGAACTCACCTCTTCCAGGGTCCGGAGTGGGACTCCGGCGGCCATGGAAACAAGGACGTGGCTGGCAGTGACCGCAGGGCCAATCTCTCGCAGAACGGCCGGGAGGATGTGGGGTTTGGTGGCCAGGAATACGAAGGAGCATTTCTCCAGCACCTCCAGGTTGCAGTGGGTCGTCCGGCAGGCAAAGGTCTATGGTTGAGAAGGAAGGAAGGAAGGAAGGAAGGAAGGAAGGAAGGAAGGAAGGAAGGAAGGAAGGAAGGAAGGAAGGAAGGAAGGAAGGAAGGAAGGAAGGAAGGAAGATGAAGGAAGGGAGGGAGGGAGCTGTAGCAACATCCTCAAACTTCACCCTCCTGGGACCCTTTTCTGCCCAACAAATGAACTCATTCCTCTCTACAAGTCCAGCAGGTTCAAAGGAAGATTCCAAACCTGGGTGACAGGGAGTCCTCGAATTATGACCACAACTGAGCCCAAAATTTAGGTTGCTCAGTGAGAAATTTGTTAAGTGAGTTTTGCCATTTTACGACTTTTCGCGCCCACCGTGGTTCAGTGAATCACTGCAGTGGCATGGTTGTCCTGAGTGCACCTGAGTGGTGCAAATGGTTCCTTTAGTCTGCAATTACTAAAGAACCAGGAGCAGGTGACCCTGAGGACACAGGCAAATCTCCAAGTGGCCTCCTCCACAACCCTCTAAAAGGATGCAAATGACCAGCTGTCTGCAAGGAGGATCAATCCTTCCCTTCCCCACCATCCAGTCAGAACTGAAGAAGCTTCTTGGATGAGAAATGAAAACTCTTCAAAGAAAAAAACAAAAAGTCCAATTGCCTCTTGAAAAAAGCACCTCGTGGACAACTAAAGACATAAATAAACCCCCAAGTGGCCTCCACGACCCTCTAAAAGGATGCAAATGACCAGCTATCTGCAAGGAGTATAAATCCTCTCTATTCTCCAGTCAGAGCTGAAGAAGCTCCTTGGATGAGAAGCAAAACGTCTTCAAAGAAAAAACAAGGAAGTCCAGTTACTTCCTGAAAAAAAGCATTTTTGGGACAACCAAGATCTGGATGACTGAGAATCTCTACAGACTTTTATTCCAAGCTAACGTTGAGTTTTGCTGGGCAGCCTTTACCGCCTGGTACAGCCCAGGTTTGAGACCTGAGCACCACACGAGCTCCCATTCCTTGCCTCAGCTCCTGCCCATCCAGTAGTTCGAAAGCATGCAAATGCGAGTAGATAAATAGGTACCACTTCGGTGGGAAGGGAAACAGCGTTCCTATCCACATGACCATGGAACAGGTCTTCAAACAACGCTGGTTCCCTCAGCCAAGAAACAAGAGATGAGCACTGCCCCCTAGAGGCAGAAACGATCAGGGGGAGGGGGAAACTTTACCTGTAAATATTTACCTGGAATTTGTCCAGATTCCTGTTGGATGGAGCACTGGCCAGGATATTTACGGCCTGGACTTCTCCTGCAATGAGAGAGGAGGATAGATGACAATGATAGGGGAACCCGTCAATGGATTGCAAACTCGTTGAGTTCTAACTTCCCAAGATTCCCAACAGGGGAATAAAGCTACGAGAAGTTGACTTTAAAGCTATACATCCCCTAAAACCTAAATATTTAATAAGGCTGGGCAGGACGCCCCACCAACTCCGATGAAGAGCAGAGTCCAGGTTTCTTGCTAGGCCTCGTAAGTTGGATGAAGGTCAAGCTGAGAAAATCCAATTCCAATTGTCAAAGGTTCTTTTCTCAAAAGGTAACTGGACTGAGTTCTTTTAGTTTTGGAGGAGGAAGAGAAGGAGAAGGAGAAGCAGGGGGAGGAGGAGGAGGAGAAGGAGAAGGAGAAGGAGGAGGAGAAGAAGGAGAAGAAGGAGAAGAAGGTTTGCAGTTCAAGGTTTGGGTTGTGAGATCCTTAGTGCTCTCTGAACTTGGTTGGTTTATTGCAGATGTTTCATGATCCAAGTAGGGAAAATCATCAGGGGTTTGGTGAGGAAGGGGAGGAAGGTGGAGGTGGAAGGAGAAAGAAAGGAGGAGGAGGAGAAGCAAATCCATTGGTTCTACACCATTAGGAACAGAAACCTTCAGAAAACGGGCCTGCTGATTGACGTCAGCAGGGTGCACAGCTGTCGTCTCTCAACCATGGCAATTTAAGACTGAAGTCTTAAAAAATTCTGAGGGTCGAAGTCCAGACCTCTTAAAATGTCCACGGTTCAGCAACCCTAGCCTCGAGGAAGGTTAATATGTCTGAAAGAGGTTCCTTCAACCTCCAGCTTTCCAAACTTGCGGTGGTTAATCTTCTAACCCAGGGATCCCCAACCTTGGCAACTTTAAGACTGGTGGACTTCAACTCCCAGAATTCTCCAGCCAGCATTGCTGGGAATTCCGTAGCTGGGGATTCTGGGAGTTGAAGTCAATCTATCTTAAAATGGTTCCCTGGCATTATTAAATCACGCTTTGCAAATCCTGGCTACATGAATATGTGAAGCTTGCGGTTTAAAGCAGAGGTCCCAAAACTTAGCAACTTTAGGACTGGTGGACTTCAACTCCCAGAATTCTCCAGCCAGCATTGCTGGGAATTCCGTAGCTGGGGATTCTGGGAGTTGAAGTCAATCTATCTTAAAATGGCTCCCTGGCATTATTAAATCATGCTTTGCAAATCCTGGCTACATGAATATGTGAAGCTTGTGGTTTAAAGCAGGGGTCTGCAACCTTGGCCATTTTAAGAATGGTGGACTTCAACTCCCAGAATTCTCCAGCCAGCATTGCTGGGAATTCTGTCGCTGGGAATCCTGGGAGTTGAAGTCCACCAGTCTTAAAGTTGCCAAGGTTGGAGACCTCTGTTCTAACCCACGAAACCCTTGAGATTGGACAGTTACCATCTGATCTCCAATATTCCGTTTTTGGCCAAGGCACTCCAGACCGCGATGGCGAACCATCTCTAGGATTCGCAGGATTAAACCTATCCGCGGGTTCCGCTTGAGCCTGGCTTCCAAGGTGTCTCTGAAACTCAAATAGACTTTTCTGTCTGGTGGGATGTTTTCTATCGGGACACGAGCCGGGGAGGCCTCTCTTCGTGGCTTCCGCTTGAATGCCCACCACTTTGGGGTGCCAGCGGCTTCCACGTCCTTCTGGATTGTCTCGCAAGGATAAGGCCTCAGGACGCTGCAGGACAGTCGATCCTGAAGAGCAGATTCCAGAGAAATAGTACTCTTCCTCGAGAGACCCCCCCCTCTATCTTGCCTTCTGGACTTAATTAACATTCGCATAAAGTATTAACTCCCATTGGAGAGTGAGTTCAATCCTAGGTAGAGACAGATATTTCTCTCTCTGAACACAAGGAGAATATACCTGCCGAATATGACTCCACCCTGGAAACAGGAAGGGCATCTGGCCATTAAAAAAACTCGGCTAACTCCATTCAGTTGCCCAGACTCCACCTCAATGCAAGGGATTATGGGGTCATTAAAAGGAGACGATTAAGTCCTGTTGGAGAAACAGGTGGCACTCAGGGCCAGGAGGGCCTTCGCACAATTTCATGTTGCGTGCCAGTCACAGCTTTTCCTGGACCAGGATTCCCTCATCTCAGTCATTCAGTCCCTAGTCATCTCACGACCGGATTAGAACCACAACCACAACTGAGCCTCAAATTTAAACTGCTAAGTGAGAATTTGTGAAGTTTTGTCCCATTTTACGACCGTTCTTGCCTCCGTTAAGTGATTCACTGCAGTTGATTAGTTAGTAACCCGGTTGTTAAGCAAATCTGAAGCTCCCCCATTGACTTGGCTGGTCAGAAAGTCGCAAAAGGGGATGACGGGACACTGAGACCGTCGTAAGCATGAACCAGTTGCCAAGTGTCTGGATTTTATTGACATGATCACGGGGAAGGTATAATTGTCATAAGTGTGAAAAATGGTCATGAGTCATTGGGTCACAGTAATGACCCCCCCCCCCAGTGTTTTTTATGGAAGAAAAGAAAATTAATTTAAAAGCAATACGGGGTTATCAGCATCTGTTTCACTGGTTCATTTAGTGGAAGCCGGAATTATTTTTCCTGGGAATCATTAAAACTAAATACCCCCCAAAGATCCGATGTCTGATTATACATATAACGGTGGCAAGAATTGTGCTAGCTCAGGCTTGGAAGATGTCTACCACTCCATCAGATGAAGTCCTCATTGGTAAAATCTTGGAATGTGCAGAGATGGATAGACTCACGATGAAATTAAAGGACAAAGAAGACTCAGAATATTACTCAATCTGGAACATTTGGTATCAATGGGTAGACAGTAAAACAGGATATATATAGGCCAAAAGAGGCATATTGGTATGTAGGTAGGATCAACGAGAAACGTTGAAATTGAGAAACTGTCAGAGAATGGAGATTTATATAAATATTCATGTTTAGATTTGTAATATTTATGTAGTTATACTTATATTGTATAGCTAAAAATGTATATAACAGTGGTGGCTAACCTTTCTGGGCTCTTGTGCCAAAAATTATGTGCGCGCTTACACGCTCGGTGGCAGCACCCAGGAGGCAATGTGCACAATCCCCACCCACCCACCGCTGCCCCCTTACCTGCACCTCACAGCTGATTTTCGGCTGGTTTGAGGCCTTTTTCGGCCTCCCAGAGACTTGAGGAAGGCTTCTGCAGGCCGAAAACTAGCCCCGTTTTGTCACTTCTGGTATTTTTGGAAAAACTGGAAGTGACGAAACGGGCCTAGTTTTCGGCCTGCCAAAAGCCTCTGGGGGGCCGAAAACGGCCTCAAACCAACCAAAAATCAGTTGTGAGGCACGCGCATGCGCAGTGAGGTAAGTTTGCCTGCAGCTCACGTGCTGCCACAAATGGCTCTGCATGCCACCTGTGGCACGCGTGCCATAGGTTCGCCATCATGGGTATCTCCTCTTATGGCTATGGAATATAGAGCATAGTACAGACTATAATTATATAGATTTATCTCTGACCTTTTTTAGATAAAAAGATGTACTTAGTGTTAATATATTCTTTTTCTTCTTTGAACCATCTATACATACATATACATACATACATACATACATACATACATACATACGTGTATGTATATATATATATACACGTGTGTGTGTGTGTGTGTATGTATGTGTATATAGATAGATAGATAGATAGATAGATAGATAGATAGATAGATAGATAGATAGATAGATAGATCTTTGGTTATTCGGGTTTTCTCCCGCGTAAGATTGGAAGTATCTAGGCAACGTTTCGATGAAGTCTCATTCATCATCTTCAGGCTTGTGTCTTTGGCTCTGTGCTTCTCAGAGTGATGTGAGCTTGCAGCTGCTTCTTCCTTTTAACTGCTAGTGGGGGTGTGACTTGATTGGGTGGGGGCTTGGCTGTGTTCTGATTGGGTGGGGGTGTATTCTAATTGGTTGGGGGTTTGGCTGTGTTCTGATTGGTTGGGGGGTTGGTCGTGTTCTGATTGGCTGGAGGTGTGTTCTGTTATATATATAATGTGCCGAAAGATTTTCACGGGTACAGGTATGCAGGTCTTGGCATGTTCGGGTCTTTTCCCTTGTAAGATTGAGAGCATCTTGGCAATGTTTCGACGAGGTCCCACTCGCCATCTTCAGGCTGGTGCTTTCAGCTTCGTGCTTGTGCGAGCAAAGCGTGATCGGAGCTGCTGTCTCCCTATATACACCAGTGGGGAGGTCGGCTGTGTTGTCATTTCTTGATTGGTTGGTGGAGTTGATGTTTGCTGATTGGTTGGCTTTTTCGTAAAAACATGTGTGGCTGAAGTATTGGCTGTGTGTCTATCAGCCTCCTGTGTTGTAACGAGCTGGGTAATGGGCTGTGTGATGACCTTCTGAGTTCTATTGTTGTGACATTCTGGGTCTTGTGCTGTAATCTCCTCAGCCACACATGTTCTTACGAAAAAGCCAGCCAATCTGCAAACATCAACTCCATCAACCAATCAAGAAATGACAACACAGCCAACCTCCCCACCAGTATATATAGAGGGCACCTCCAATCACGCTTTGCTCTCACAAGCACGAACCCGAAAGCACCAGCCTGAAGATGGCGAGTGGGACCTTGTCGAAACGTTGCCAAGATGCTCTCAATCTTACACGGGAAAAGACCCGAACACGCCAAGACCTGCACATATATATACTTTTTGATTACTTTTTGATTAATATTAAGGCACTGTGAAATTAGCATTACTAATACTATAAATGTCAAGTATTAATTGTATGTACTGTACTTATTGTACTGTCAAGAAAACGATGTTGAAAGGTATTGATACATCTTCTATTATAGAAATTTTTGTAAACTTTTTAATATTTTGAATTTCAATAATTTTTTAAAAAAATTTTTTTTAAAAAAAGTTACAACAGCACTGAAAAAAGGGGACATGACCATGTTTCACACCGACAACCGTTGCAGCATCCCCATGGTGACGTGATCAGTCATAAGTAATAAATAAATAAATAAAGTCAGATTCACTTAACTGTATTACTAATTTAATAACTGCAATGATTCACTTCACAAATGTGGGGAGAAAAGTCATAAAACAAGGGAAATTGAACACATTTCTCACTTAGCAATGTCAATTTTGGGGCTCAATGATTGTCGTAAGTCGAGGACCAACTATATTTTTCTTCTGGTAATTCCACTTGCATTTTAGGCACGTCCAAAGAGAATGTAAATACTCCAAACCTATTATTTCGTGCTGTTTAATTTTTTTTTTTAAGAGTGTACTTCGATTAGATTTGGGCGAAAAGTTTCAAACCTAAAATCTTTTTTTTATTTTAATTTCATACAAAATAAATAAAATAAGGGACCCGTTTTAGGGATCCCTCTAAATAAGGAACCCGTTTTAGGGATCCCTCTAAATAAGGGACCCATTTTAGGGATCTCTCTAAAGAAGGGAGCCCATTCTTCAAAGGGAGCCCATCTAAAGAAGGAAGGCCACAAAAGAATGGATCCCTCTTGGGGCCCCTCCCAATAAGGGACTCCTTCTTAGGCACCAGAGTCCCTCCCCCTCCTGCGCCCCACCGCCTCTCTACTCCGCCCCCCCCTTTGCGTCTGAGCCCCTCAAGGTGGGGTGCAGCCCCCCCGCCGGCTCTTCCACCTGGGAAGGGGTGGGGGGGTCTCCGTGCGTGCCCAAGGCGGCCCCCGCCGCGTCCCTCGGGGCCCTTTCCTACCTGCCAGCAGCATCGCCCGGGCCACGGCGCTGGCCATGCGCCCCGCGCCGATGAAGCCCACGCGCACCTCCCGCAGCGGCGCCTCCATGGCTCTTCTGCCGGATCCGCTGGAGGCCCCTGCCTTTGGCACCGGCCACGCCCCCCAGGCCACGCCCCCCCCGACGCGCCCGACGGCCAATCCCCGCTCGGCTCCGCTCGGGAACCTCGCTCTGAGGGGGAGGGCGGATCCGCCGCGCCCCTTTTCGAAGGCGCGGCGGCGAGGCGCGGCGGCGATTGGCTAAACGCCCGTGACGTCACGCGGCGGGTTTTTTAAAAAGCCACCCACGGGGTGGGGGCGGGGGCTTCGCTCGGCGTTGTGTGCGAAGTTCGTCTGTGGGCAATTGGAGGGTCGTTCGGTAGGTTCCGGGTGCGTCGCCTTGCTTGGGCTCCCGCTCTCCGAGGAGGTTTTATTTTTCCCTTTGCACCTGCCCGACTTTTGGCTCGTTTGGCGAAGCCGAGCTCTGCTGGTCTATGGATGGGGGACCACGAGGAGATCTAACGGTTAAAAAGCATTTAGGGAAAAGGGAATGGCAGTTTGCAAAAGCCAGTCTCCGGTGTGGCCTTTAGGACAAGAGGCCTCCAAACTTGGCTACTTTAAGACTGCTGGACTTAGACTCCCCGAATTCTCCAGCCAGCATAGTTCGTCTATGGATGGGGTACCACAAGGAGATATGTGGTTAAAAAAACATTTAGGGGAAAGGTTGCAAAAGCAAGTCTCAGGTGTGGCCTTTAGGACAAAGGTCTCCAATCTTGGCACCTTTAAGACTTGTGGACTTCAACTGTGCTGGCTGGAGAATTCTGGAAGTTGAAGTCCACAAGTCTTAAAGGTGCCAAGTTTGGGGACCTCTGCGAAGTCAGCAAGAGCAAGGAAGGCAGCTTTTCAGTTTTTTTTTTCCCCAAAGGGGCTTTTTCAAGAGGCAACTGGACTTCCTAAAAACTGGGGGGTGGGGAACCACCTTTGGGGGCCTAACCTAGGATGACTGAGGATCTCCTTTTCAGTTTTCCTTGCTTAGAATGAGCAGTAGACTTCCCTCCAAAAGGAGCATTTGCCCCACGAAGTTGTGGGTGCTCTAACGCCGGAAACTTTTAAGAAGAGATTGGACCACCATTTGTCTGAAACGGTATAGCGTGTCCTGCCTGAGCAGCGGGTTGGACTAGAAGATCTCTGAGGTCCCTTCCAAGTCTATTCTGATTGAATTGAACTACTGTCTGAAATGGTATAGGGTCTCCTGCCTGGCGGGGTTTGACTAGAAGACCTCTCGGGTCCCTTCCCCTGCGTTCTTCTGTTCTAGAAGCGGGCTTAAGGTTTCAAAGAAGACAGCATGGAATGTAAGAAGCTGATGTATGACAATACAACACAAATGAGGCTCTTTGGCCGATAAAGGCCTTTGTTAAAGAGAGGCGTCCTTGTAAGTTTTAAAATGCAAAGCAATAATTGCTATATTGCTTATGACCAGGAGTTCTTAAAAACTGGCTTAGGGAAAATGTTAGCCATGCAAAAAAGGAAGTGAGTTTTTTTCCTAACAAAAGTTTGGAATATCTTTCCCGATTCAGTTCTCTCAGCCACTTATTTCCACAGTTTTCATTCTAAATTAACTTCTGTGCACCTCACTTCCTTTTTGAAGAGATCCCTAAGGGGCCATGCGTAATTGCACTAATGCACCTACTGTGCCTGCCACGGTTTCTTGTTCTTAGTTTGCTTGTTCAAACTTGTAATATATAAATAAATAACGGGCAGCGAAAGGGTCTGGAGTTCTTAAAACCTCCTTAAAGTAGAGCTTCTGTGCTCCATGGCAGTCTATCTTGGAATGCTAATTGATGGTGGCAAGTGGAGCAGATTGTTCCCTTTAAGGTATGGGTGTCCCACCTTGATCATTTTAAGACTGTGGACTTTTAATAATAATACAGTTTAATTACCTAATCCTAAATTCCCATCTATTAATATATTAATAGTGTTTTAAAGTATATTGTGTATTTAACATATTGACTAGAAATTGTGTGGGATTTTGAGATATGCTCCCGGGAATGATTAAATATTGTTAATATTTGGCCTTATTAGTAATCCTACAGATTTGGAATATTGAAGTTATGGTGGAATAATGAGTAATTCTTTACAAATATTAAGTAATAGTATTTAGGGAATTACAAATATAGGTCGCAAAGAAATGTTTACGTTTCAATGAATTAATGGGAAAATGATAAATGGATTATGAAAAGAGACTAGCATTGTTGAAGTTGGAAGATACTTATTTGTATTATAGAATAGAATATAATTCTTTATTGGCCAAGTGTGATTGGACACACAAGGAATTTGTCTTGGTGCAAATGCTCTCAGTGTACATAAAAGAAAAGATACATTCATCAAGAGTCAAGAATCATCAGGTACAACACTTAATGATAGTCACAGGGTACAAATAAGCAATCAAATCATACTAGGAAACAGTCCTTATAAATCGTAAGGATACAAGCGACAAAGTTACAGTCATACAGTCATAAGTGGGAGGGGATGGGTGATAAGGAATGATGAGAAGATGAATAGTAATGCAGTCTTTGTAAACGGTTGGACAGTGTTGAGGGAATTATTTGTTTAGCAGAGGGATGGCATTGGGGAAAAAACTGTCCTTGTGTCTAGTTGTTCTGGTGTGCAGTGCTCTATAGCGTCGTTTTGAGGGAAGGAGTTGAAACACTTTATGTCCAGGATGTGAGGGGTCTGTAGATATTTTCACAGCCCTCTTTTTGACTCGTGCAGGATATACAGGTCCTCCATGGAAGGCAGGTTGTTTTTTCTGCAGTCCTAATTACCCTCTGGAGTCTGTGTCTGTCCTGTTGGGTTGCAGCACAAACCAGACAGTTATAGAGGTGCAAATGACAAGACTCCATCATTCCTCTGTAGAACTGGATCAGCAGCTCCTTGGGCAGCTTCCTGAGTTGGCACAGAAAGAACAAAGCTTTGTTCTGCTTTTTTGATGATGTTTTCGATGTTAGGAGTCCATTTTAGGTCATGTGATATGATAGAACCTAGAAATTTGAATGTCTCTACTTATTATTGTTACTGTTGTTTAAAAAAGACTTGACCCAGTCAATACACTGTCCACAAAATATGTATGTTTAGGTTGAAAAATAAAAAAAAATTCTGGACTTCAACTCCCAGAGTTCCCCAGCCAGTTCCCATGGGAACTCTGGGAGTTGAAGTCCACAAGTCTTCGTGTCACCAAGGTGTATTCATGTCGCCATCCTTGCTTCAGGGTGTATTTGTGGATCTTCTGTAATCAAGTAGGTTCTCCAACTACTGGGCGGGGGGGCGGAATCTCCCAGGCAGATCTCCCTGCATTGCATCACAATTTCTTTTGCAAGGTTGTCAAATTGAAACATCTGCTATGAAGCCTCGAGATCTGTTGATGGGAACTGCAGCTTGACTAAGTTGGTGGAGAACTTTGGGGTTTTTTTTATTATTATTTCTTAAATTTATTATTTTTTTAAAAAAAAATATGAAACAGCGATGAGGTCCCAGTGGGATATCTCTTCCGTTAACCCGTGAAGTGGAGGTGTGTGGTTGCTTTGGGGCAACGAATTGCATGGAGAAATGCATTTTTTTTTGTTTCTTTCCCTTCCTTTCCTTTCCTCTCCTCTCCTCTCCCTTCCTTTCCTTTCCTTTCCTTTCCTTTCCTTTTCCATTCCTTCCTTTCCTCTCCTCTCCTTTCCCTTCCTTTCCCTTCCCTTCCCTTCCTTTCCTTTCCCTTCCCCTTCCTTTCCCTTCCCTTCCCTTCCCTTCCTTTCCTTTCCTTTCCTTTCCTTTCCTTTTCCATTCCTTTCCTTCCCTTCCTTTCCTTTCCTCTCCTCTCCTTTCCTTTCTTTTCCTTTCCCTTCCTTTCCTTTCCTTCCCTTCCCTTCCCTTCCCTTCCTTTCCCTTCCCTTCCTTTCCCTTCCCTTCCCTTCCTTTCCTTTCCTTTCCTTTCCTTTTCTTCCTCCTCTCTGCAAACCCCACTGCCTGCCAGCACTGATGATGTTACCTAGCTGGGTCATGAAACTTCCGCAAGAAAATCACCAAGCTCAGAAAGCACCAAGGACCCCACAGTCCTCCTCCTCTTCTTCCTCCTCCTCTTCTCTATTCCATAAACATCTCTTCCTTCTAGCCCTGATGGTGTTACCTAGTTGGGTCATGAAACGTCTGCAAGGAAACCACCCAGCTCAGAGAGCACCAAGGACCCCGGGGTTCAACCCTCAGCTACGAATACTCTCTTTCATGGGTACAAAATGCTTTTTATTCTTTTCTTTCCTTGCAGGCGCCTTCGGAAGATGCTGCCCGTTCACAGCTGGGCCCTCATTTTCCCTCTCCCCCTGCTTCTGGTCGTTGCCCCCTCCTCTGGGTTTTTTGGCTGGCTCACCCAAAAGGCCTCCCCAACTCCCGCTCCCAATCCTGAGCCCGCAGCTGCTGCCCTAGACCCAGCCGGCCTCGCAAAAGTGCCTTTCGAGATGGATACGGCTGATGAGCGCTTCCTCGCTGAAGCTCAAGCAGTGGATCGGTCCCTTCTGGATTCCTGCCATCACAAGGTCTCTGGCGCTTTGTAGACGTGTGTGTGTGTGTGTGTGTGTGTGTGTGTGTACAGGCAAGTCCTCGGCTTACAGCGGTTTGTCTAATGACCAATACTACGACACTGAAAAAACAACCATTGGTCTGAAAGGGTATATAGCGTTTCCTGCCTGAGCAGGGTGTTAGACTAGAAGACCTCCAAGGTCCCTTCTAACTCTATTCTATTCCTATTCCAATTCTATTCTTTTCTTATTCTAGTCTAGTCTAAGCAATTCTTTTGTATTTTTATTCTATTCCTATTCTTATTCTACTCCTATTCTACTTATTCTACTCTTTTCTTATTCTAGTTTAATCAATTCTTTTGTATTTCTATTCTATTCCTATTCTTATTCTATTCATATTCTAATCTACCCTTTTCTTATTCTAGTCTAAGCAATTCTTTTGTATTTCTATTCTATGTCTATTCCTATTCTTATTCTACTCCAATTCTAATCTACTCTTTTCTTATTGTAGTCTAGTTTAATCAATTCTTTTGTATTCTTATTCTATTCCTGTTCTATTCCTATTCTAATCTACTCTTTTTTATTCTAGTTTAATCAATTCTTTTGTATTTTTATTCTATTCCTATTCTTATTCTATTCATATTCTAATCTACTCTTTTCTTATTCTAGTTTAATCAACTGTTTTGTATTCTTATTCTATTCCTTATTCTATTCCTATTCTAATCTATTGTTTTCTTATTCTAGTTTAATCAATTCTTTTGTATTTTTATTCTATTCCTATTCTATTCATGTTCTAATCTACTCTTATTCTAGTCTAAGCAATTCTTTTGTATTTCTATTCTATTTCTATTCCTATTCTTATTCTACACCAATTCTAATCTATTCTTTTCTTATTCTAACCTAGTTTAATCAATTCTTTTGTATTCTTATTCTATTCCTATTCTTATTCTATTCATGTTCTTATTCTATT